ACTCGGCAGACACCCCGTGTCTCCTGGAAGGAGGCCGATGCGAGGAAGCTGTCCATGTTGAGCGATGCCCTGGTGATGCCGAGCAGAACAGGCGTGGCGGTCGCGGGCTCTCCGCCCTCGGCGAGGACCTCCGCGTTCACCTCTTCGTACTTCTGCCTGTCCACGTACTCGCCTGGAAGGAGGTCGGTGTCGCCAGGGTCGTCGATCTGCACCTTACGCAGCATCTGGGAGATAATCAGCTCGACGTGTTTGTTGTGAATCGGCACGCCCTGGGAGCGATAGACTTTCTGCACCTCGTCAATGAGGTAGCGCTGGACGGCGTCCCTGCCCTGTATCAGTAGTATCTGCTGTGGGTTCTTGGGACCGAAGGTAAGCGCCTGTCCTGCTGTCACACTATCGCCCGACTTGACTGCAATGCGTGACGCAGCGGGTATGACGTACTCCCTCTGATCCTCGTCTGTCCAGGCGTTGGTCAGGACGTTGTCCTCGACGGACACAATGCCAGACACGCGGGCCATGACGTCGCTGGACATCAGGGCGATCTCATCGGTTTCCATCTCTGTGGTCCCGTCCGGCTCGGCGAGCACCTCTCCGAGTCCTACAATGGAGCCATTCTCAACGACAGCCGTGAAGCCCTCGGGCAGAATGTACTCGTCAGCATACTCTTCAGAGCTGGTCACGCGGATACTGCGCCCTTCGGTGAGTTCGGACACTTCGACGACGCCGTCGATCTCGGACAGCACTGCCTGGCCTTTCGGAGTGCGCGCTTCGAATAATTCTTCGACCCTGGGAAGACCGCTGGTGATGTCCTGTCCTGCGACACCGCCGGTGTGGAAGGTGCGCATCGTCAGCTGGGTACCCGGTTCACCGATGCTCTGGGCCGCGATGATTCCGACGGCCTCGCCTATCATGGAAGGTCTCATTGTAGCCAGGGACATGCCGTAGCACCTCTGGCAGATGCCGCGCGGAGCCTCGCAGGTCATCGGCGAGCGTATGAACACGGCCTCGACGCTAGATTCCTCGAGCCTTCTGATTACGTCGTCGTCTATGGGGGCGTTCCTGTCCAGGATGATTTCGCCGGTTTCGAGATCCGCGACGGGCATCGAGAGGTAGCGGGTCCTGACCTGCTCCGCGAACGGCGCGGTCCCTTCCTCCTCCTGCCGAAACCCTGTTATCCGACCGCCGGTCGGAGTTTTCGCAGTGTCTCGTCGTGGAGGCATATATAAAGCGTCCTGAGAGACGATGCGATCAGTCGCCTGGTGAGATAGCCGGAGTCGGCGGTTCTTAGCGCCGTATCCGCGAGACCCTTGCGCGCGCCGTGAGTCGATATGAAGTACTCCAGAACACTGAGTCCCTCGACGGAGTTGGCCATTGATCGTCGCGGCGATGATGCGCCCCGTGCAGTTGGACACATCAGCCGCGCATACCGGCCATCTGCTTGATCTGCGCTATGTTGCCCTTTGCCCCTGAGTTGGCCATCAGATAGATTCCACCGTAGTCGCGGAGGTTCCTCTGAATGACTTCGGTCAGGTCGTCGTTGGCCTTGGTCCAGATGGCGACAGTATTCTGGTAGCGTTCCTCGTCGGTTATGAGACCGTCCAGGTACTGCTCTTCGAGCCTGCTAACGGTATCTTCGGCATCTTTGACGATTCCGTCCTTCTCTTCTGGCACGGCGACGTCGCTGATGGCGATGGTGATTCCTGCCTTGGTGGCGTACTTGAAGCCCAGATTCTTGATCTGGTCGAGGACTTCTGCGGTACCCTCGTTGCCGAGGGTGGCATAGACCTCGCCGACGATCTCCTTGAGTTTGCTCTTCTCGATCTCGTCGTTGCGGAACCCCATCTCCGCTGGCAGAGTGTCGTTGAATATGATCCGCCCAACGGTGGTATCCACCGGCTGGCCGTCCATCATTACCTTGATGGGTGCGCGCAACTCAATGGAGCCCAGTTCGTGCGCGAGACGGGCGTCGTCGCGGCTGCTGAAGAGTCGCGCCGCGCCGCGCGCGCGCTCGTCGATAATCGTCATGTAGTAAGTGCCGAGCACTATGTCCAGCGTCGGCGCGACTATCGGCTCCCCGGAGCTGGGGGAGAGCATGTTGAACGTGCTCAGCATCATCTTGCGCGCTTCCATCACCGCCTCGCGTGACAGCGGCACATGTACTGCCATCTGGTCGCCGTCGAAGTCAGCGTTGAAGGCTGTGCAGACAAGAGGGTGGAGCTGGATGGCGCTGCCGTCAATGAGTACAGGCTCGAAGGCCTGAATGCCGAGCCTGTGCAGCGTTGGTGCGCGGTTGAGAAGCACCGGCCTGTCGTTGACGACCTCCTCCAAGATGTCCCAGACCTCCGGTCGTATGCGTTCGGCCATGCGCTTGGCACTCTTGATGTTGTGTGCGTACCCCTTCATAACCAGGCGGTTCATGACGAACGGCTTGAAGAGCTCGAGCGCCATTCTCCTGGGTAGGCCGCACTGGTGTAGCTTGAGGTCCGGCCCCGCGATAATGACGGAGCGGCCCGAGTAGTCCACGCGCTTTCCGAGCAGATTCTGCCTGAACCTGCCCTGCTTGCCTCTGAGCAGGTCCGACAGCGACTTGAGGCGATGGTTGTGGCTGCCCGCCACGGCCCGGCCACGACGGCCGTTGTCCACCAGTGCGTCAACTGCCTCCTGGAGCATCCGCTTCTCGTTGCGGACTATGATCTCGGGAGCGGCAAGCTCTATAAGCCGCTTGAGACGGTTGTTGCGATTGATGACCCTGCGGTAAAGATCGTTCAGGTCGCTTGTCGCGAATCTGCCGCCGTCGAGCTGGACCATCGGACGCAGCTCCGGAGGCAGTACTGGAAGCGTTGTGAGAACCATGGACTCTGGCCTGTTGCCGCTCTTGCGGAACGCCTCGACCACCCTCGTACGCTTGATGGCCTTCTTTCTTCGCTGGCCGGAGGTAGACTGCATCTCCGCCTGCAACTCGTCGCGAAGATCGTCGAGACTGAGGCTGTTGAGCCTTTCGAGCACCGACTCCGCTCCCATGCCCGCCTGGAAGATGCCGGAGTACCGGTCACGAAGGTCTCGATATCGACTCTCAGTGAGCAGATCGCCAGCCTTGATGCTCTCGATCTCGTCCATCTGATCGGTCAGCTCGCTCTCGAATTCGGACTTGTCCTCGTCAATCTGGAGAGTCAAGCTTGTGTGGATCCTGCTTTCGACGTAAGACAGCGTGCGTGCCCGCAGGGCTCGTCATCGTCCATCTTCATCGTCGCGATCGGACAATTGGCTCGGGGCGCTCTCCGAGGGCATCGAGCTGAGCCTGTAGCTCCGCGAGTCGTTGTTCACCCTCAGCCGATCTTCTCAAGGGTCTGGTCGAGCTCCTCCTGAAGCTGGTCGATGCGCGCTGTGCGGAATTCATCGTCCACGCTGGTGACCAGATACTGAGCGAAGTACAGCACTCTGTCCAGATTCCTGGGAGACAGATCCAGCAGGAGACCCAACCGACTTGGGGTTCCCTTGGAGAACCAGATGTGGGCGACAGGGGCGGCCAGAGCGATGTGTCCCATCCGCTCACGCCTCACCTTCGCGCGTGCGACCTCAACGCCGCAGCGGTCACAGATGACGCCCTTGTAGCGGATCTTCTTGTACTTGCCGCAGTAGCACTCCCAGTCCTTGGTCGGGCCGAAGATGCGCTCGCAGAACAGTCCGTCCTTTTCGGGGCGCAGCGTCCTGTAATTGATCGTTTCCGGCTTAGTAACCTCGCCGTAGGACCAGATCTTGATCTGCTCAGGCGTGGCCAGGGATATTCGGATTGCGTTGAAATCGTTGCCGCCAAGGGCCATAATCGCTCTCCACTACTTCAGAGTTGCCGACTTTCGGATTTCAGCCGAATTCCAGTCAGGACTCGTCCGGTTAAAAGCTATCAATTTAGAGTTCAGTCGTCGTCTGCCGGGGGCTTCGGCCTCTTCAGCGACTGGTTCCGTGGACTCGACTGCGACACCCTCCGAGTGAGCTTCAGACTCGATTACGTTACCGCCGATACCCACGGTTACAGGCACGGGATCGGACTCGTCGTTCCCCAGCCCTCCGATCAAGCCGAACGTGGGTAGGGTGTCCGCGAGGTCATCCCCGAAGCCGTCATCGAAATCGCCGAGTCCCATGGTCTCCGGCTCTTCGTACAGCAGTTCGACTGACAACCCGAGGCTCTGGAGTTCCTTCATCAGAACATGGAAGGACTCAGGGATACCCGGCTGGATTACGTCTTCTCCCTTGACGATAGCCTCGTAGGTCTTAACCCTTCCGACCACGTCGTCGGACTTGACTGTGAGCATCTCCTGGAGGTTGTACGCGGCCGAGTAAGCCTCGAGCGCCCAGACCTCCATCTCGCCGAATCGCTGGCCTCCGAACTGTGCCTTACCGCCCAGCGGCTGCTGGGTGATAAGCGAGTATGGGCCGGTCGAGCGGGCGTGTATCTTGTCTTCGACCAAGTGGATCAGCTTCATCATGTATATCTGCCCGACAGTGATGGGCTGGTCGAACGGCTCTCCGGTCCTACCATCGTGGAGTGTGGTCTTGCCGATGATCGGCGCTGCGACCTGTTCGTCGCGGTTGAGCCGCGCGACCTCGTCCAACAGCTCCTGTTCAGTGAGGGTGGAGCTATCCATGCCGCGAGCTTCCTTTAGCCAGATCTCAATGCTGGCTCTGCGCGCCGCGCCCAACTCGGCGCCCTCGCCGAACAGCGAGTCGTATTCGTAGCCTCTTTCGACCAACCACTCTCGTACTCGGTCATGGTCGATGTTGCGCTCGACGGACTGATGGAGCACCCTGGGATCTACGGCTCCAGACTGTTCGACAATCCATGCCTGTCCGAGCGAGTCCTCGATTGCCGTATCGGGCGCCCCGTCGAAGACAGGGGTAACGGCCCTGAATCCGAGCAGGCTGGCGGCTCGACCCAGGTGCGTCTCCAGCACCTGGCCCAGGTTCATACGAGATGGAACGCCGAGCGGAGTCAGGATGATGTCCACAGGCGTGCCGTCAGGGAGGTATGGCATGTCCTCTTCGGGCAGTATGCGCGCCACCACTCCCTTGTTGCCGTGTCTGCCGGCCATCTTGTCGCCCTCGGTGATCTTGCGTGTCTGGGCTACCCAGAGCCTGACCAGCTTGTTGACACCCGGAGGTAGCTCGTCCTTGTTGTCTCGGCTAAGTACGCGAACTTCAATGATTTTGCCGCGCTGTCCGTGCGGTACGCGCAGTGACGTATCCTTGACGTCGCGGGCCTTCTCGCCGAAGATCGCGCGCAATAGCTTCTCTTCTGCGCTGAGCTCGGTCTCCCCCTTCGGCGTAATCTTGCCAACGAGGATATCTCCAGGGCCGATCTCGGCACCCACGCGGATAATGCCCTCTTCATCGAGATTGCGGAGGCTCTCTTCGCCGACGTTGGGAATGTCTCTGGTGATCTCCTCAGGGCCGAGCTTGGTGTCCCTGCTCTCCACCTCGTGCTTTTCGATGTGGATCGATGTGAACTTGTCATCTTCCAACAGTTTGCGGCTGATAATGATCGCATCCTCGAAGTTGTAGCCTTCCCAGCTCATGAAGGCGACCAGTATGTTCTGACCGAGGGCGAGCTCTCCACGGCCGGTGGAAGAGCTGTCGGCCAGCACGTCCCCAACTTTGACCACGTCGCCCATATCTACAATGGGCCGCTGGTTGATACATGTGCCCTGGTTGGAGCGCATGAACTTTCTCAGGGGGAACACTCGTATCTCGCCGTCGGTGCCCGTGACAATGATACGGTCGCCGCTGACGTTGGTGACCACGCCATCGACATTGGAGAGGACCACCTGTCCGCTGTCTTTTGGCTACACGCTCCTCCATGCCTGTACCGACCAGCGGAGGCTCGGGTCTGAGCAGTGGTACAGCCTGCCTCTGCATGTTCGAGCCCATCAGGGCGCGGTTGGCGTCGTCGTGTTCGAGGAACGGGATCAGGGCGGTCGACACGCTGACCAACTGTATCGGAGCGACATCCATGTATTCGACGCTGTCCGGGGGCTCCATGAGGCCAACGTGTTCACCCATGCGGGTTTCTACTCGGTCCTCAGTGAACTGCCCTTGCTCGTCTAGCGCAGCGTTGGCCTGGGCTATACGGACGGTTTCCTCTTTGTCTGCGGTCAGATACACGATGTCTCCGGGATCATCGGAGACGAACGGCCCCACTTGTATCATTCTCTCTGAGAGAGTACTGATCTTGGTAAGCCTGCCGTTGCTCCTAGTGGGTGTGCCCCCGCTCTTGAGGATTGTGGTCCCGTTGTCGGCCACGACATCCTCTGTCAACGTGCGGCCATTGAGGCGGGGATCGGTGTTGAGGATCTCGGTATGGACCTTCCTGTAGGGCGTCTCAATGAAGCCGTACTCGTTGGTGCGAGCGTACGTGGCCAGCGAGCCGAGCAGGCCGATGTTCGGGCCTTCCGGCGTCTCGATAGGACATATTCGGCCGTAGTGAGAGTGGTGAACGTCGCGGACAGTCGAATCGCTGCAGCTCCCTCGCAGTCTGGACCGAGGCCGCCAGCCTGCGCTGTGGTAAGCTCGGCGAGCGGGTTTGGTCTGGTCCATGACTTCGAAGCTGCATGGAGCCCGCTCCGAAGAACTCGCGCACGATGCCACGACCGCCGTGAGATGTTGATGAGAGCTGCCGGCGTGGTGGTCGCCGGGTCATCGTCGTCGTCATGCGCTCCTTGATGACGCGCTCCATCCTAGCAGGCCGACGCGGACCTGGTTCTGGATCAGCTCGCCCACCGCGCGCACCGCGGCGGTTGCCGAGATGATCGATGTCGTCCGGAAGGATACGCGGTTGTTGATCTGGATCATTCGCCTGAGTCATGGCGACGATGTCGTCGGCGAGAGTAGTCAGCTCCTGTGGAAGTCGTCCTCGTTTTGCGTGGAGCTTGCGTTGTCCAGCTGTAGCGTCCCACCCTGCCGAGGTCGTAGCGGCGGGCGTTGAAGAACAGGCTGTCGAGCAGGTTCTTGGCGTTGTCCACGTTCGGAGGCTCGCCGGGCGGAGCCGACGGTAGAACTCCATCAGCGCCTCTTCAGGCGTGGTGACGCCGGTGTCCTTCTCAATCGTCGTATGCATGAAGCTGTGCTCGTCGTCGGTATCGACGCCCTCGAACAGCGAGGTCAGCCCCTCGTTGGACTCGAAGAAGTTACGCGCTTGGTCGGCAGCTTCTTCGGCTGGCCATCGAGACTTGAGGAGCGTGCATAAGCACGTAGAGGGAGGGATGGGGAGCTGAAAAGAGAAGAATCTGGAAGTCAAGGTGGGTGATAAAGGTCTCCTCGCTTTCTTCCCGGGTCTTGCGCTTGCGGTCCACCTTGACGGAGATGACGTCGCGGTGGAACGGTCTCGAACTCCATCCAGGCCCCCCTGTACGGGATGAGCTTGGCGGCCGCCAGCGGGTCGTGCCGGTAGTGGGGATCCGAGAGGCGGTGGTGAGTAAACGCCAGGCGAAGAACGCACGAGCTGTACTCACGCACGCTCTCGGCGGCCGTTGATGATGAACGTGCCTGTGGAGGTCATCATCGGGATGTCACCGATGAAGAGCGTCTGCTCCTTGATCTCGCCCTGACCCGGACAGGAGGCCTTGATGGTCAGCTTGACAGTCACGTACTAGGCCGCCGCAAGGTGGACTCGCGCTCTCGGCACTCCTCCTCCGAGAAGCTTCGGCTCTCGAAGTAGTGGTCTCCCAGGGTCAGCTCGAACCGGCTGCTGGGGAAGTCCTCTATGGGCGAGATCTCGTCGAAGAGCTCCCCAAGCCCTTCGTTTTTGAAGTGCTCAAAGGAATCGAGCTGGACCTGGATCAGGTTCGGAACACTGATTATGGCAGGGATCCGCGAGTAGGACCTTTTCGAAATGGCGCCGTTCTGATCGTTTCTAACCTGCAATGCGGTCGAGGTCATACGCTCTCACACTCCTAAATGCAAATAGAAAAGCGACGAGTAACAAGAGATGTACTGAGAAGACGTTACGACGGGGTACAGCGTCGAAGAAACGGGGAAGGATTGGGCGGACGGGTAGTAAGGTTTCGGAGTTGCGGGGAATTGACGAGTAAAAAGACGAAGCGCATATGGCGACTTGCTACAACCATATCACAACCCCGTTTCAGATGTCAAATCAAATCCGACTGCGGAAAATGGCGTGTCCGCAGCTCTGGGTGATTGACGACCGGAACCGGCTAGGTTGTCCTAGTCCCCACTCGCCAACCTTGTAAGGCTGTCCAGATGCGATTCGATGTAGCAGTAGCCGAAGTAGTGCACCTCATACTCGGACTCGTCTCTAGTCTCCCGGATATGCGCCTCGGCTCGAGGCCATTGCTGTCCAAGTACGATCGACCGCTGATCGTCGTCCGCGTCCTGTCCATCAGGTCGACATTGATGGCATGCACACGCTGCTCACCCGGCGATGCGGTAATGGTCTCCAACTTCACTGAGCATCCACCTCCGAGACTGGTGGGCGCATCATATCAGGCGCACTTTGAGAATTGAAGGGTCTACAAAAATGAAAGCGCACGGCGATTGCAATCTCGCTGTCCCTGCAGCGTGTAATTCTGATTCTGGCTGGGTCGAGCCTTGGGCTAGCAGCAACTGGCTGGGAAGCTATGCGGATCGTTGAGCATGAGCACCACATCGTAAGGATACGCTGAACCTGGCTGGAGCTTCTGGCCGACCGGCTGATGATAGAGATACCGCCTGTGGCCATGGCGTTCGTGGAGGAGAAGCCAGAGGGTGTGGCTCCCCTGTACAGGGAGCCTCCGTCCTTCTGCTCGCTGTGGCGTTTAGCTGAACTGCGAGTGTTCTACGCATCGGCCGAACAGCACGACGGATGCGGAATCGGGGGCGTGGTCTCTGGATTCAGTTCGTCAGAGGAGTCGAGGACGAACTCGCCGCGCTGCTGACCGAGCTGTGTGCGAGGTGGAGTGGACTGCACGATGAGATCGCGCAGACGGCCCGATTCCAACGGTCGGGCAGAGGCGTGGTCTATGGTCCGCTATGGAAGATGCCCGTGGAGCCTGACCTGGCGCTGATGTGGGCGACGCTTCCACAGATGGGGGTGGTCCAGGAGATCGTCGGGAATATCATGTGGCGCAACAATCCGCAGGGGGCCGTGTTCACGCGGCCAGCGTGCGGGGTGCTCCCGATAGCCTACGAGAATCAGAAGACTGCCCTGTCCCTGGGCTGCATCGGTATGAGGCTCTATACAGAGATACCCCCGCACCTGTTCCTGGTGGCGATGCACCCGTCGCAGCTGCCGAAGCTGGAACAGGGGCTGGAGGGCAGGGACGACGTTGCCGAGCGGCTTGAGCACTACGGGGCGCGGTTGTCCGGCGGGTAGGAGTGCGGGAAGCGTAGACGCCCATATACTTGACTGCGGAAGTAGCGTGCTACAATTTCCCGGACTAGATTTCGGGGAGAAAGCTACCTATGACTTCAGACGCAAGATTCACAGTTTATTCACTAGGGGCTGGTGACCACGGCGACACAGTCGAGGAGTTGGAGAAGGTCGGCGCACGGCTGATCCCGTTGGAGAGGATCGAGTCGGAAGATGAGATCATCGAGCAGACTAAGGACGCTGATGCTCTGATAGTTACCGAATCGCCTATCACGCGACGTGTGCTGTCGGCCCTGGAGAACTGCAAGACGGTCCTCAGGACGGGCGTAGGGTTCGACTGCATAGACGTTCCGGCAGCGACTGACTGCGGCATTGCGGTAATCAATGTTCCCGACCTGTGGACGCGCGAGGTTGCCAACCAGGCGATGATGCTTCTCCTGGCGGCGAACCGGAAGTTGCTGGAACAGGAGGCAAGCGTTCGGGAGGACCGGTGGACGCCGAGGATATCGGCGCCAGTTGGTCCGCTGCACACCGAGACGGTGGGGGTAGTCGGCCTAGGTCGGATCGGCAGCGCGTTCGCGCGGCGAATCAAGGCGTTCGAGGTAGAGCTCATCGCATACGACCCGTTCATCTCGGACGAAGCGTTCGAGGCCGTGGGAGCTACGTCAGTATCGTTCGACGAGCTGCTGGAGCGGTCGGACTATATCTCCGTACACACACCGTTGGACGAGGGCACACACCACCTGATAGACGAAGATGCGCTGCGGAAGATGAAGCCGACGGCCATCCTCATAAACACGTCTCGCGGGCCTGTGGTGGACGAGTCCGCGCTGATCAAGGCGCTTCAGGAGGGCTGGATACTTGGCGCGGGACTGGACGTGCTGGAGCAGGAGCCGCCGGACACCGACAACCCGCTCCTGGGTATGAGCAACACAGTGCTCACGCCCCACGCCGCTCACTATTCGGAACTCTCGATGGAGCTGCGGCCGAGGCGGTACGGAGTTGAGGTGGCAGCCGTGCTTGACGGTCGCAGGCCGATGAACCTGGTCAACAGCCCGGTGCTCGAGGTGCTACCGCTGCGGTGAGGTGAGCAAGCCCGCTACTCGATCTCCATCTGATCGCCGTCGAACGTGATCGACCGGGACCGGTGCATCAGGACGGCCTTCCTGAAGTGACGCAGCTCGACGCGCAGTTCGTCCAGTCTGCGGGCGGCTTCGGTCTGCAAGCGATGGGATCCCGTTTGGCGGGCCATGCGGCCCCATAGACCGCGTTGCGGCATCTGCTTGAGCAACTCTCCGAATCCGAACTCCTCCATGAACGGCTCGAACGCCTGGGTCGAAAGCTCAGGCATGGGCGTGTCGTCGGCTGGGTCGGCGAAATAGAGGCTGAATTCGATTTCGGACCCGTTCAACACCGAGACGTCCAGCAGCAGCGCGGGCTGGGGCTGTCCTTCGAACATCGCATCGCCGCCTCCAACTCCCCTGGCGACCTCGCGGACGGCGGCCTGAATGACCCTGAGCGTGCGCGACACGTAAGACACCGGGAGCGCGCGAGACTCGATGATCAGGAGCAGACGGTATTCGGAGTTTTCGACGCTGCCTGTTGCCATGCGACGGCTCTTACCTGAGCACGCGGACGTCGCCGACGCGCCGTGTGACCCTCACGTGGTCGAGGTGGTCCATCAGCGCGAGCGCGTACTTGCGGCTTGTACCTAAAAGGTCGCGCACGTCGGCCACGGTTATCTCGCCGTTCTCGGCAAGATGCCTGGTTATGCCGTCAACTACATTCTTCTTATTACCCGCTAACATTTTCATTGTCCTTTCGATTTTCTGCCCCCACCCTCCCATCGCTCTTCCTGTCCTTTTTTCCGCGCCCTTTAGAATTTATTTGCATGCATTTCGGTCTCTTTCAGTTAGTCCTCTATCTTGCCGGTTAGGCCTTTCCCTCCGCGTTTTTCATTTTTTCTTTCACATTCTTTTTATCCCTTTTTTTCCCCCCCCTATATCCCCGTTTTGTCTTTTTCTCCCCTTTTTTCCCCTTTAACTCCCCACCCTTTTTTTGTTTGTCCTTACCCTCCTCCCCCAACTTTTATCTCTGCCTCCCTCCTTCTTATGCCGAAAAGACCACGGATTCGCTGACCTTCACGACCTGTCCCTCGGCGTCCAGAAGATTGACGACCTCTGGGTCAATCTGAAAGTCTGTTGGAGGCGAAAACGGGTCGGAATCCAACTGTCGCAGGTACTCGTCCACAGACTTCTTGGAGTTTTACGCGAGTCGTGGGAGCAACCCGTCGGTCGGGCGATCTGACGGTAGACCCCTGCTCGGCGGTGACGCCCGCCTCGTTCAACAGGTTGAGTACATCGTTGAAGACCTGTGGAGTCAGTCAGCGTCAGCCTTACGACACGCAGCTCTCTTTTGGCGCCTGACAGGCGCAGCGCGAACGTGAAACTGCGTGTGTGGGTAGTCTCCGAGGCAGCTGTGTTCGATGCTTACGAGCGCCCGCCAACAGCCACGGCCGTGGTTGGTAAAAACCTGGTGGCCTGCGTGATCGTGCCGCTACCGAGGATGACCACCTGATTGTTGGCGATCATCGCCTGCAACTCCGTACGGGCGGTGTCTTCGTTGAGGTTGGCACGGTTGACCACGGCTCGAAACTCGGCAGGCTCGATGCCTTCGATGGTCTTCAGCAGCACGTCTTTGTCCGAGCCCCGTTCCATGATCTCCAGCCGCTCGATGGTTGGAACGTGGCGACGCCTGGGCCGCGGCGCGTGGGTGTCCACGATGTTACCGCCGCCCAGTGTAGTCATGTTGGATCGGATGACAAAGTAGTCGCCCTTGGCGACGGCAATGGGCGAGTCAACTTTCAGCTGCGCCCATGTCGTATCGCCGGGTTGGGCGCGGTCGTCCTCGAAAAGACGCAGGCGCGCGACGGACTCGCTGGAGCCTGTGTGGACAGTCACGTACATGTTGTGACGCAGCTGATTTGGCGCGTCTTCCAGGACGCGCAGGTGAACGTCGAACGCGGTCGTTGGCCTGAGCCAACCCGGGTTGGTAAGTATCTCTCCACGCCACACTTCATCCTGCGACACTCCGACTGCCGCATTGGCAGCTACACGGGTGACACGGCTCTGCGCGATCGCCCTGCACGAGTGTCTGGAGTCCACGTACGCGGGTGCGCTGTCCCGCGACGGTCAGCTCGACGTCCTGACCGGTCTGGAGATGGCCGTCGATCAGGGTGCCCGTGACGACGGTCCCAAAGCCAGTCAGCGTGAAAGCTCGATCTATGGGTAGCTTGGGCCGGGCGAGGTCGCGTTTCGCGGGAATATCCTCGGTCATGGACGAGATGGCGGCTATCAACTCCGGCAGTCCCTCTCCGGTGTGGGCCGACACCGGCATGATCTGTGCGCCCTCCAGGGCCGTGCCTTCGAGAGTCCCTTCTACGTCGGCCATCACGAGCTCTATCCACTCGTCATCAACGAGGTCCTTCTTGGTGAGGGCAACCAGTCCGCGTGGTATCTGAAGCAGGTCCAGAATCGCGAGGTGCTCGCGCGTCTGCGGCATTACCGACTCGTCTGCGGCCACGACCAGCAGGGCGATGTCTATACCGCCTATCCCCGCGAGCATGTTGTTCACGAAGCGCTCGTGTCCGGGGACATCGACGATGCTGACCTCGTTGCCCGAGGGCAATTGAAGCCAGGCGAAGCCGAGGTCTATCGTCAGACCCCGCTCCTTCTCCTCGGCGAGCCGGTCCGGGTCTATGCCGGTGAGGGCCTCGACGAGAGTTGACTTGCCGTGATCGACGTGTCCTGCTGTGCCTACGACGAACATTCTTGTTGCACGTGTCGTGTACTGGTGAGTTCGGGGTAGGATAGCACAGGGCGGCGTTGACTGGTTGCACTGGGCTAGCCCGTACCGTTGATTCGCGCCCCACGTTTGACTGGCAGCGAGGGTAACTGATAGACAAGAATCTACAGGAGGGGGACACCCTTGAAGATAACCGTGGTTGGGCTTGGATACGTTGGCACGGTTGCTGCCGCTGCGCTTGCGGGGGCAGGCCACGACGTGTTGGGAATCGACATCGACAGGAGTCGCACCGATATGCTGGGCGCGGGCTGTGTGCCAATGTACGAACCCGGCCTTGAAGAGCGAATAGAGGCCGCCCTGAGGGCCGGGACGCTTCGGTTTCTTCACCGTGACGACGTTGCCGAGGATCCCGCGTCAAGTGCGGGGCAGGCTCTTGGCGACGTAGCCCTCATCGCTACCGGCACGCCCCCGACACATGGAGGCGGGGCTGACTTGCACCAGGTCCGAGCCGCGGTGGGCTGGGTCAAGTCCACAAGGCCCAGGGAACTGACTGTCGTGATGAAGAGCACAGTCCCACACGGGACCGGGACCGGGAGGGAGCTGCTGGAGAGCGAGCTCAGGGGTACATCCATCAGGTACGCCTCCAACCCGGAGTTCCTGCGCGAGGGCCGTGCTGTCGATGACTGGGAGAAGCCCGACCGGATCGTCATCGGAGTCGAGCCGGACGATACACGCTCAGTCGATACGGTCAAGCGCATGTACGCAGGCATTGATGCGCCCTGCATGGTCACCGACATCACCAGCGCGGAGATGATCAAGTACGCGAGCAACGCGTTCCTCGCCACCCGTATATCATTCATCAACGAGATCGCCTCCCTGTGCGACACCGTAGGAGCCTCGATTGACGAGGTCAGCGAGGGCATGGCGATGGACTCGAGGACAGGGGCGAGGATTCACGCCGGAGTCGGCTATGGGGGGTCCTGCTTTCCAAAGGCGTCCGCGCGCTCGACCATCTCGCACTCACGAGCGGCGCGAGCGTCGACCTGCTGAGGTCGGTAATCAATACGAACAACAGGCAGCGTCTTCTGCCGCTTCACGCGCTGCGCCAGAGGTTCGGCGGCGCGATTGAAGGTCTGAGAGTCGGCATACTCGGTCTGGCGTTCAAGCCCGGCACCGACGACGTCCGGGACGCACCGTCGCTCGACCTGATCCGTGCGCTGGTGGACGAGGGAGCAGAGGTTCAGGCGTTCGACCCGGAGGCAATGAAGTCGGCGCGTCCGAATCTGCCGTCATCGGTCCAGCTGGTGGAGGGTGTGGAGGAAGCGGCGAACCGGACGCAGGCGCTGGTGCTGCTGACGGAGTGGGACTCCATCGTTCAGTCCGACTGGCGGGTTGTCGCCAGGTGCATGATTCCGCCGCGACTGGTGTTCGATGGCCGGAACGCCCTGGACCCGGCCGAAATGAACAGGCTCGGCTTCGAGTACGTTGGGGTGGGCCGGGGGCCGGTCCGGGGGGGCATCCAGGACGGCTCTTCCCCTTGGTCGGTCATGCAGGGGCTGGTTGTGTGAGCGCACGTATCTATCTGCATGAGAAGGTGTGACGAGAGCGGAGGAGGAGGAGGCTGGCGACCCCGACCGGATTCGAACCGGCGATCTCTGCCTTGACAGGGCAGTATGTTAAGCCACTACACTACGGGGCCGCGCGAGTAAGAATTGTAGCGGCGCGCGCGTCTCAGGTCAACGCGAATCATCCGGTCGATTGTGTATCAGTTCAGTCGGACGCTGAACATGAGCGGGGCGAGTCTGAATGCGCCGTGCAGGCGAATACGGGCGAGACGCCCGCGCTCCCAGGGTGTGCCTGCTAAACTGGTACAGGTTCCATCCGGTCTGCCTATGGCAGATTTCCCAGGGGAGTGAGAGAATACCGTTCCTCTTATGGTGAGTAAGCTCAATAGACGGCGGTCGGTGCGTAGCCTTTTGCTTGAAGGCCGACTGGTCGACAGGAGATTTCGCCGTCACTGGAAGAACTACCTCTTCCAGTGTGCGCTGTCCATACTGGCGCTGCTGCTGATTCTGCTGGTCATGGACGTGGTTCTGCGCGTCGCGATCGTCGCGGCCGTTGCATCCTCGGCCTTTATCGTCTTCGTGACCCCGCATAGTGCCGCATCCAGGCCTAGACGTGTCATAGGAGGGCATGTTGTAGCGTCTGCCGTCGGTTCGGGGCTCGCCATGCTTTATCTTGTACCCGGTTTTGGCGACGTGGCTGCCGGCTCTAATCTCGCTGTTGACATCATGGCCGTGCTATCGGTCGGTCTAGCATCTTAATCATGGTTCTGACGGATACTGAGCACCCGCCCGCCGCAGGCACGGCCTTGGGACTCGTCGTGGGCGGGTGGAGCCCGTCGTCGGTCATGTTCGTACTATTGGGAGCTGTATTGCTCTCTGTCGTGCACATGCTACTCCGCTCGCGGCTGACCAACCCTGTTCTAGCCGACCAAATAGGGAACGACGCCTCAATCAGAACCCGGTGGGATACTCTGATATACTTGTCCCCCGTAGAATCTTCCCTTCGCACGGTGTCGTGTGGGACAGAAGGAGCCTGGATGGCCCTTGATCGATCGCGTGCTCAAATCGCGAGCGAGGAGCACGAACTGGTAGCGCTGCTGCGGCGTCAGGGCATGAGCTGCGTTCTGATGTCATCCGACGAAGAGCTCGCCGCGCTCGGCGAGGGCGTCGGGGACGGCCCGCAGCTGGTACTGATCGACACCGGCTACATGACCTCGATGGAGATCACGCGCTGCCTCCAGGCTTGCGAGGAGTCTGAGGCTCACACCATCGCGCTGGTACCGCGCGGCCGTGTTCCGAGCCTCGATACGAGCCTCCGGCTGACTGATTTCATCGTCAGCCCGCCGGACCCGGATGAACTGGTGATTCGAGCGCAGCGGGCACTGAGAGCCGGCCAGCAGGTCGACGAAGACAGTCACATCATCCGAGCGGGAGACCTGCAGATAGACACCTCCAGCTACGAGGTCACCATTAAGGGCAAGCGCATCGGTCTGAGGTTCAAGGAGTACGAGCTGCTCAAACTGTTGGCGGAGAACCCCGGAAGAGTGTTTTCCAGGGACGCGCTGCTCAACCAGATCTGGGGGTACGAGTACTTCGGAGGTACGAGAACGGTAGATGTGCACATCCGCCGTCTCAGAAGCAAGATAGAAGACGCAGACACAACTTCATCGAGACCATATGGAACGTGGGATACAGGTTCAGGGAGTCGCGCTAGACAAAGGAGCAGAACATGGCAACAGAGAGAGTCGCTTACGTAAATGGCCAGATCGTACCGGAGAGTGAGGCTGTGATCTCGATCAGAGACAGAGGCTTCCTGCAGGGTGACGCCGTGTTCGACACGACCAGGACGTTCGGCGGCCGCATCTTCCGGCTGGACGAACATCTCGATCGCTTCTTCAACTCATTGAAGTACATGCGCATCGATCCGGGTCTGACGAAACAGGACTTCGCCCGCCTGACGATGGAGGTCCTCGAGGCGAACCTTCCGCTCATCGAAGCTGATGACGACTACTGGGTGACGCAGCGCGCTACCCGCGGCGTCACGGTGGACGGTGAGGTCAAGCCGTCCATCATCATTGAGTGTGTCCCTCTGCCTTTCAAGGCCAGGGCTGCCTACTATCGCGATGGCCTGCCGGTGGTCGTGCCGTCGGTCCGACGGACGCCGCCTGAGTCTCAGAGCCCCCGCGCGAAGGTGCACAACTACGTCAACCTGGTCAGGCCAGCCTAGAGGTCGAATCTCAGAATCCCAACGCCTGGCCGATTCTGCTGGATACCAACGGCAACCTCTCGGAGGGGCCTGGAAGCAACATATTCATCGTCAAGGACGGAATCGTATTGACTTCGAGAGAGCAGTTCATACTCTCCGGGATCAGTCGTGGCGTGGCGATAGAGCTGGCCCAGGAGTTGGGAATCGAAGTCCAGGAGACGGACATCGACCTATACGACGCCTACACTGCCGATGAGGCGTTCGTCACATCGACAAGTTTCTGCATATGCCCGGTGTCATCGTTCAATGGGTCGCCCATAGCTGACGGCTCGGTCCCCGGCCCGGTGACCGACCGGCTCACTCGCGCCTACAGCGGAATGGTCGGGCTGGATGTCGCAGGTCAGTACCTCGCCCGACTCGAAGAGTGACGACTGGCCCTGAACAGGTGGCCCATCGAAGCGTTACTGTAAGAGCCCCCGCGACCTCGGCGAACATGGGGCCGGGGTTCGACTGTCTGGGAATTGCGCTGGACATCTGGAACATCGTCACCGTCGAGGTCGGCGAGTCTGGGTTCGAGATCTCAGGAGAGGGTGAGGACGAGCTCCCTTGGGACGAGTCCAACCTTGTCTTTCAGAGCATCACGCGGGTGTTCGAGGAGTGCGGCCGGTCGATGCCGCCACTATCGGTGCGGTGCCACAACGATATTCCCGCGACGCGCGGTCTCGGATCTAGCTCTGCCGCATTGGTGTCCGGGCTGACAATTGGCAATGAGCTGTGCGGTGGACTGCTTGAGCAGGACGACCTGCTGCAGATAGCAGCGTCCATAGAGGGCCACCCGGACAACGTCGCGCCCTCTATCTACGGGGGGATGCAGATTGCGGTCAGCCATGACGACAGGGTCGTCAGCGCGCCGGTCCCGGTCCCGGATGAGCTGTCCGCGGTACTCTTCGTTCCGAATGTGCCCATGCCGACAAAAGAGGCGCGAGGACTGTTGAAGAGCGAGGTGCCGAGGTCGGACGCCGTGTTCAATATCGGCAGAGCGGCGCTTCTCGTCAGCGCTATGGTGACCGGCGATCTCAAACGTCTGGGCATTGCCACAGAGGACCGGCTGCATCAGCCTGCGCGGCAGACCATATTCTTTCCGATGAACAACATCATCCGCGCCGCCAGGGGCGCAGGCGCCCTTGGAGCTTTTCTGTCCGGTGCGGGCTCGACCGTACTCGCCCTGGCTACGGAGAAGGAGTTCACCATCGGGTACGAGATGGCCGATGCCGCCGTGAAGTCCGGCCTGGATGGCGAGGTGCGTATCACACGTCCGACGGATCGAGGTGTACATGTGGTGCGCTCGTAACACCCTCAATTTGACAATGGCGGACTACGCGCGCTAAACCATTACAGTCGAGTCTTCGGGGCAAATCTCCACGGATGGACTGAACTGGATTATGGCGCTGGTTGTTCAGAAGTACGGCGGGAGCTCTCTCGCCGACGCAGACAAGATAAAGAATGTCTCCGAGCGCATCGCTCGTGCCAAGGAAAACGGCAACAGGGTCGTGGCCGTCGTCAGCGCCATGGGGGACACTACCGACGAGCTGATCGAGCTTGCGGGCCAGGTGTCCGACAGTCCTGACCTGCGGGAGTTGGACGTTCTTCTTTCGACCGGTGAGTTGAGGTCGTGCGCGCTGGTCGCGCTGAGACTGAACTCGCTCGGCTACCCTGCGATCAGCCTCAGCGGTGCGCAGGCCGGCATTCGGACGGACAGCCAGTATGGCATGGCCAAGATCTCTAGCCTGGAGCCGCAGCGCATTATGGATGAGCTGGACGACGGCATGATCGTGGTTGTAGCCGGATTCCAGGGGATCACTCCCGGCATGGACACGACCACTCTGGGTAGGGGGGCGTCCGACCTGACGGCAATCGCGCTCGCGGCCGGACTGGGAGCAGTCCGGTGTGAGGTCTACACCGACGTGGACGGTATCTACACGGCGGACCCCAGGCTTGTGCCAAAGGCCGCGAAACTGGATGAGATCAGCTTTGAAGAGATGCTGGAGCTCGCGAGCTACGGCGCCAAGATGAACCCTCGGTCGATAGAGCTGGGCATGGTGTACGACACGCCGATTCTCGTGGCCTCCAGTTTTTCTGACGTGTCGGGTACGTTGATACATGGTGATGCGGACATGAACAAGAACGTGGGCGAGATGCGGAACCGCGTCTCTGGAATAGCGACCGATACGAATGTCGCGAAGATCACTCTCCAGGGCGTCAAAGACCGTCCGGGGATTGCGGCGAGTCTGTTCGAGCCTCTGGCTGACGTCGGGATAAGTGTTGACGTAATCGTCCAGAACGCGAGCGTCGGAGGAACGACGGACCTGACGTTTACAGTCAAGAGAGACGACCTCAACAGGGCGTCTGAGGTTGTCCAGCGAGTGGCCGAAGACCTCGGCAGTACGGGCTTCGTCACAGCGCTCGGCCTGGCGAAGGTCAGCGTCGTCGGGACCGGAATGCAGGACGCCCCCGGATACGCGAGTACGATGTTCCGAACCCTTGCTGATGAGGGCATCAACATAGAGATGATAACCACGTCCGAGATCAGGATCACGTGCCTCGTGTCCGAGGACGCGGTCGGCCCCGCCTCCCGAGCGCTGCACACCGCGTTCGATCTGGATGTGGGATAGCGGCCTGGTCACGAGTGGGCGAATCCGACCAACCTCTGCTCTCCGTCGTCATCCCTGCGTTCAATGAATCCGCTCGCATCATCGCCACACTGGATGAGCTCGCGCGTTATCTTGGTGAGCAGGAGTACATCTCGGAAGTCGTCGTAGTGGATGACGGCAGCGTGGACGACACGGCGGACCTTGTGAGTCAATGGGCCGCCGACAGGGCCGACACGAGGCTGATCCGGATACGCCATGCGGGTAAGGGCTGGGCGGTGCGGTGCGGTATGCTGGCGGCACGTGGCGCCTACCGGTTCATGTGCGATGCTGACCTCGCTATGCCGGTCCACTGGATTGGAGAGTTCATAGAAAGAATGGAGGCGGGTCTCGACATCGTGATCGGCTCCCGTGAAGTGGCGGGCGCTCGCAGGTTTGACGAGCCAGGTTATCGGCACCTGATGGGGCGTGTTTTCAACAGGGTCGTTCGCCTGCTGGCCGTGAGCGGATTCCAGGACACCCAGTGCGGGTTCAAGTGTTTCAGAGCGGCGGCGGCGGAGGAACTCTTCAGCCTCCAGCGGACGAGGGGAATGGGGTTCGACGTAGAGATTCTGTTTCTTGGGGTGAAGAGAGGTTTCAGCATCGAGGAGATGCCGATTGATTGGTATCATCAGGCCGTCAGTAAGGTCCGCCCCGGGGTGGATACGATTGACATGCTCAAGGATACGATCGTCATCAGGCTGAGGGACGTCACGCGGAGGTATGGATGACGTCCGCGGAAGCCAACATCGGATTTCAACCTGTATGAGTCACATTACACATGAGCATCAGGGAGAAGGTGGGCCGCTCGGTCGCGTGGCGGTTGTCGTCCCCACGTACAACGAGGCTGACAACCTTCCCGAGTTGGCCAGCCGGCTGTTCGGGCTCGACCTGGAGGACATTCGTCTCTATGTCGTGGACGATAGCTCACCTGACGGAACTGCCGAGGTTGCCCGCAAACTGTCGGACGAGTACGAGAACAGAATCGAGGTCATATCCAGGAGCGGTAAACAGGGACTTGGGACCGCGTACACGACGGGCTTCGCCAGGGCGCTCTCAGAAGAAGTGGACTACGTGGTGCAGATGGACGCCGATCTCTCCCATGTGCCGGAGGAGATTCCACATATGCTGGGGAAACTCAGACGGTCCGACGTTGCGGTCGGCTCCAGGTACACGACAGGCGGTGGTCTGGATCCAGAGTGGAGCGCAAAGCGCAGGATGCTGAGCGGTTTTGGCAACCATCTCATTCGGTCCGTCACGGGGGTGAGGGTCATGGATGCGACTTCGGGTTTCAAGGTATATCGGGCGGACGCGCTGCGGTCTCTGGACCTATCGAGGATCAGGTGCATCGGCTTCGGCTTCCAGGCCGAGGTCGCCCACTACTGCCAGGCAAGCGGCCTGGAAGTGGTGGAGCACCCAATTACGTTCATGGAGCGAACTCGCGGGGTATCGAAGATGTCGGTCAGGATAATTGCCGAGGCAATGTGGAAACTTACTTTACTCCGGATTAGAACGTTTTAAGATACCAAATAATACCTTGTATCGGCTCCGATCTATCAGCTAGTATTCCCTAACCTTTCCAGAGGCGAGTGAAATGAATGCGCGCGGATTTGAAGATAGAGACAAGTACCGCAAGGATATGGGCAAGAGGGCCGTAGCCCTCGCCATGCACGGAAAATGGGAGCAGGCGGCGTCAGTTAACCGGACTATCGTCCGGGAGTTCCCAGATGATCTTGAAGCCTACAACCGTTTGGGCAAGGCCCTCAGCGAATTGGGGCGCAACCGTGAGGCCAAAGCTGCCTTTGAGACGGTGCTGCAGCGGTCGCGCAACAATTCAATTGCGAAAAAGAACCTTGCCAGGCTGATGAAGCTCGCTGACGACGCCTCTCCGCGGGTCACCAAACGCGCGACCCGCAGCGTACACGCGTTCATTGAAGAGAGCGGCAAGGCTGGTGTCACCACATTGACTAAGCCGGCCCCGACCAACGTGTTGCTCGAGTTAACGCCCGGCGACCTCGTCCAACTTAGCGTGACAGGCAGAGCGTTGACTGTGACTGATGAGTCAGGCGCATATATAGGTCAGGTGGAGCCAAGGGTCGGCAGCAGAATAGCGAGGCTGATCAAGGGCGGCAACCGCTACGAGGCTACCGTAACCAGCGTCGGGGACCAGAGGCTGGACATCATCATCCGCGAGACTTACAAGAGCCCGTCCCAGATGGGGGTGGTCTCGTTCCCATTGCGGGGCAGCGCCGTGTACGGTGGATACCTGCCAAGCCAGGCCATTGCGTACGACGCCGGAGACGACGAGATGGAGATCCCGGTTGCCGAGAAGGTCGCCGTCAAAGACTGGTCTAACGACGACACCGAGCCCGGCGACGACGAGGCGTTCAGCCCTGTCATACACCGGATCATAAACTCGCCCGGCGAAGACATGGACGATGACTACTAGGCGGGAACCCCTCTAGTTGCCCTCATGTCCGGTCGCGGACCGTTTACTCGCCGTTCTCGTCCGTAGCGAGCGGCCTGGGTCGGTAGTACAGGCCCCAGCGTTGCATTAGCTCGTACACGCGCTCATCGTTCAGCTCGGTGAGTTGTCTGAAGAAGCCTGCCATCGCGTGCGCGTGCATCATCTCTGGTGAGCAGACCCAACTCGACTCAGCCGGTACCACGTAGAGCAGGCCGTTCTGGTGTTCGCATTCCAGCTCCACACGCTTCCCGCCCTGGTCTGTCTTGACGTTTAGCCCAAACTGTCCCATCGACAGCACCTCTCGCAAGTCTGCCCGTTATTTTTTGGGAGCGCGCACTGCTCTCAGGCGCCTTTCGCATCTGCGCCAATACGGGCCTGCCGCATTGTATACCAAGCGTCTAGGTCTGGTTGACGGCCTATATGCCGTTGCTATAATCACTCTCGAACCTGGGCTGTACAGTTCGGGATAATGCAGGAGGAACAGATGGCAGCTCACATTCAGGACGAAACTATCACCATTCAGAAAATCCAGTGCGGGCCTTACGGGAACAACGCTAACCTTTTGGTATGCCCGCAAACGAACGAGAGCATCATAATAGACGCGCCACCCGATCCGGGCGCACTGATCGAGGCCGCACAGCAGACCGACGTAAAGGCTATACTCATCACCCACAATCACTTCGATCACATTGAGGGTCTGCCGGAGGTCAAGGGCGCCATTGGCGCTCCGGTCGGGATTGGCGCGGCGGACGCCGACGGGCTGCCCGACGCGCCCGAACTGCGTATCGAAGACGGCGACGAGATAACGGCCGGCTCGATCACACTGACGGCGATCTTCACACCGGGCCACACAGACGGCTCTACCTGCTTCTCGTTTGGTCCGCACGTGTTCACCGGCGATACGCTGTTTCCCAACGGGCCAGGCAGGTCGCGCAGCCCCGAGGCGCTGGCGCAGCTGATAGAGAGCGTCAGTACGAGGCTGTTCGTGCTGGACCAGATCAACGACTTCTACCCTGGCCACGGTGACGACGGCAACCTGGAGGCCGAGAAAGGCAAGTACGAGGTCTTCGCTTCCAAGTCGCATCCCGCAGACCTTGAAGGTGACGTCGACTGGCTAAACAGCTAGCTCCGAGCCGCAGGCGCGATCTGACTCGCACGCAGGATAAACCGCTTTGACCGAACATGGGTTCTACGATGTCCGCTGGCGAATACGGGACATCGTACTAGGATCGGTCGTCGCGATTGTTTCCACCTCAGTCGCACTGTTACTGATCGGGCTTGTGGTGGCTATGACAGGCCGCCAGAACCTCGGTCCTGTCGAGGTGCTCGCGGCCGCTGCCTCCGAGGTATTGATCGTCTATGTCGTCTGGCGGCTTGCGGTCAAAAGGTACACCAGCGGCGGGTGGGCCGCTGTAGGTGTCCGAGCGCCCATGAGCGTCGCCGCTCTACTGCTGATTCCGCTTATACTGCTCGCCAGCCTGGGATTCACCGCTCTCTACGAACTGGCAGTCAAGTCTATTGGGGTGGAGGCGTTGGTGCCCGAGCATCTGTCGTCTGAGATGTTCGGCGAGGGTGTGCTCAGGGTGCTGACTATCGTTGTCGTCGCGGTGCTGATACCGTTCGTTGAGGAGACATTCTTCAGAGGGTTCCTATTCGCGGGGCTGGCCGCCAGATTCGGCGTGTTGACCGGACTTATCGTGAGCGCAGCGGTGTTTTCCGTCGCTCAGCCGACGTGAAGGTCTTCATACCGATCTTTGTTGCGGGCCTCCTGTTCGGGTGGGCATACCATAAGACGAAGACCCTCTGGGTGCCGATCGCGGCCCATGCCTGTCAGAATCTGGCGGCTGTGATGTTCCTTGATTTTGTGTGAACGACCTCAAAAGAGACGAGGTGACCGAGATGCCAAATCGAATCGACGCCGTTCTCGGCGAGCTCAGAGAGTCAGGACGGACCGCGCTGGCGCCGTTCATCACGATCGGTTTCCCGGACGTGCCAACCTCTGAGGCGCTCGCTCGGACAATCCTGGAGTCCGGCGGCGACATGCTTGAGCTGGGGGTTCCCTTTAGCGATCCGCTGGCGGACGGCCCTACCGTTCAGATGACAAGTTATCGCGCATTGCAGAATGGGGTCACGGTCAGGGAGTGCTTGGACTTTGTTCGTCGTTTGCGAGCGCAGGGGTGGAGTCGCCGCTGATCTTAATGGGGTACTACAACCCATATCTCAGCTATGGCCCGGAGAGATTTCTAGACGACGCGGCCGCTGCCGGACTCGACGGAATGATCGTGCCGGACCTGCCTACCGAGGAGTCGGCGCAGTTCGGGGCGATGGCCGCAGATCGTGGCATCCATCTGATCCCGATGCTGGCGCGACAGCTCCGATGAGCGGATCGAGGATGCTTGCAAAGCCGCAGGTGGGTTTATATACTGCGTGAGCCTCACCGGAGTGACATCCGCAAGGAGTTCGCTTGTTCACATGCGACTTCAGGACTCGTCGAGCGCATCCGGCAACACACCGATCTGCCAATACTGTGGTCGCGTCGGCGCTGTCGAGACCGGACCAATCTGAGTGGAGATCGGAACGTATGCGGAAGGCGCGGCGGTTGTTGGGATGCGCGCCAGGCTGGACGCGGTGGACAGGGCTTCGCCGGATGGCAAGTTGGAAGCAGCGCGGCGAGTTCATCCACACGCTCCGGGGAATCGACGGCAAGGGCGGCAATTAGATGAACACTGTCAGAGGACTGCGCGGCGCGACGACCGTGGACAGCAACACCAGGGACGCCATTCTCGAGGCGACGCGTGAGCTGTTACAGGAACTTGTCGAGGCGAACGACGTGAGCGCCGATGATATCGCCGCCGTCACGTTCAGCACCACCAGAGACCTTGACGCCGAGTTTCCCGCCGTTGCTGCCCGGGTAGACCTGCGGCTGACGAAGTAGTGGCGAGAAGGCGATGATGTGTGCGTCACGAAATGGAGCCGGTCACATGGAGGGAGGAGAGATTGGCCATCCAGCGTGCTGATCTAGCGTGAACACCGACGACAGCGCACCCCACGAACTGAAAAGGATCTACCTGGGCGAGGCCGCCAGCCTTCGCGCCAGAAGCGGTAAGGCTGGGCCTTAACCCTTAAGCCGGGCATGTGTCTCAACGGATTGGCAGTCATTTGAAGAGACTTCTAAGCTCGCATACACGGACAGCTCATATAGCAACCAGTGTACGCGCAAACGGACGGACAACAGGCAAACAAAACAGGGAAGTAATCACGACGTGATCGGTCGCACACTTGCGAGGCACGACGCAACAAATGCCCCTCTCTTCTACGGAGGACCGTCTCGGCAGGCCGTCTCGTAGCCGTGTGGAGAAAAAACAGCGCCGGAAGAGCGCCAACTTCAACTTCAGCCTCGTCAATTTCTACGCTGGCGCGAAGAACAAGTTCCACTCCCACACGTCGGACCAGATCCTGTTTGTCACCAAGGGAGAGGGAATCGTAGCGTCGGAAGCCGAAGAGGTCGGTATTTCTACTGGCGACACCGCTTTCATCCCAGCCGGGGAAAAGCATTGGCACGGCGCGGCGGACGGCCAGGACTTCACTCACATCTCGCTGACCGGGGCAGATAGCGAGACTACGCAGTACGACGACTAAGACATACTCATGGCTGCTACAATAGCTAGAGAGCGACGATGCTCCCGAGGCGCGTCGGTCGTCTTGTTTATTTCTCCAGTGACGGCTCGCTTGGATCGTATCAGGGTGCAGTTCTTCGGAACATGGAACCAACCTGGACTCGTGGTCGTCTTGTTGTACAGAGAGGCTTAAGCTGAGGCGCCCGGCTGTCGGTGATCCAGTCAATCGGCTTCGAGACGCCATCGTCCTGGGTACGGGCAATACCCTGGTCTTTGAGCCGCTGCACCCGGCCGTCGACAGCATTTTCACTCGGGCGGTGGTCTTAACAACGCTCATTGAACCTGGTGGGACGGGCCCCGGTTTCAGGGTCACCGATGTAATACCCGGGACCGAGGTCACATCGAGTTCAGTGAGACCGGCGTGTCGGGTTCTGCCGGATGCAACTCGTACGGGGCGCCCCTCAGCGTTAAAGACTCTACGATAGCCGTAGGAGCACCTCTGGCAGGGCGTGTGTTGTGGCTTGCTGCCATGTGTTAGTATGGCAACCGTCATAGGCGTGTAAGACGGCACGGGAATCCTGATTCACTCGGACCGGCAACAGAACACAAGGAGAGAGCGGATGGTCGCGCATGAGGCGAGATTGACTGGAGAAGAGATCGAAGAACTTAAACAACTAGGTGAGACCCACTTCTGGCCCCACTCCAGGCCGATAGCGGACTTGTCGGAAGAGACCGGCATCAAGCTGATCTCGAAGGCTGAGGGAGTCTGGGTCGAAGACGCTCAGGGCAATCGCTGGTCGATACCCTGTCCGGGATGTGGCTCAAGAACATAGGCCATGGGCGGAAGGAGATCGCGGACGCGGTCTTCGAGCAGATGCAAGAGGTAAGCTACTCTCCGGGAGGGACGGTCAGCCCCGCGACCATCAAGCTCGCGCGACAAGTCGCGCGAGCGGCGCGCCCATCTGACCAGGAGGAGTCCAGGGTCTACTTCACGAGCGGCGGATCGGAGGCCGTGGAGACGGCCCTGAAGATCGCCAAGGCCTATCACAAGAACAACGGTGAGCCGAACCGCTGGAAGGTCATCAGCAGACGTGGCTCCTATCACGGAGCTACTCACGCGTGCATGGCCCTGGGCGGAGCCGCTACCTCCGGGCCAGGCGACTATGGCCCTGGTGCCGGGCAACATCCACATTGGCAACCCGAACAGCTATCGCGGACCTCACTCGGACATGGAGTGCGCCGAAGAGCTGGAGAGGACCATTCTGCATGAGTGTCCGAACATGGTCGCGGCCTTCATCGGTGAGCCTGTCTCCCGCTGCAAATCGGCATTCAAACTTC